AAAGGCTTTAACGCTTGTTTTCGACTCGCACTACTATTCATGATTGAACAAAACTTTTGGCAGGTACTGTATGAAAAAGTATGTTTAATGGACAAGAGTCGAGAGTATAATGAGTTTTTTTGTCCCTACCTACGATTTTACCAGCGCGCATCTAAGACATTGGAAGGGACACATCGCTAGAGACAGTAAACATAGATCACAAAGTTGGTGTTGTCTTTTCCTACTGTAACCTTGTGAATCTAATGTAATCGAAGTTTAACCGATAGTAACGGTGCCTACGGTATATTTCAGGACTAATAAGTCAAATTTGTATTGTACTAGTTTATCTTTTATCTAATTCTATTGGCATACATGCAGGTAAATTTAAGGGTAGGAATTTTAAGTTCCGCTTTTCCTCCCTTTCCAGCTTTGTCAACAAATATCAGATAAAAATGTAGGCATTGACTTTGCTTGATATTGCTTCAATAAGTATTTCTTCGATAAAAATTTCAATTTTTATGGATGCAATCTTCTAATATCGAAGGGGCTCATAGAACCCTTAATAGGTATTAAAATTTCAATATTCCATTCAGCAAATACTGTTGGCAGGAGACGATACAAAAAGTTTTGTCGGATTTACGTGACGAAAAAGAAAAGTTCTGAATAAAATCGACATACGACAAAAGGAAAAGGTTCATTTAAAACCAAATCAGTAATCTGGATTATAAAGTTACAAAGAGGCAAACTTTTAGTATATTTATATCCAATTTATATGTATATAATCTAGAATACGTAAATGACTTTTTATTAAACTTTGGAATGCAAATTTATGTTGAATCTAAAACTGAGGATTGTGTTTTTTAAAGAAACAGAAACAAGAGAGGAAAAGTTTTCGAATATCCAATTACAAATGGGGAAAATAAAAATAATATACTGTTTTTTAATATACTTCTTATTAAAATTAAAAATTAAAACAGTTCGTTTTGAGAGTAAGAAATTATTTATGAAACTGTGCGACAAAAAAAATTTGCTTGAGAAATTTTACCAATGGATTAGAAAAAGTAAGAGAATTAACTCCCTTAAGACGATCTGACTTTGTTATCTGTAACTATTTGATGCGAACAGTAATCTACACTAGATCAACTCCTCTTAACTCCTGTTTCTGCTGCTAATATGTCTCTAAATATTTCTTTAAGACAAAGAAATTGTCCAGTAATTGGAGCATTCAAAATTGGCAAATTCCGCAACAAACCTCTCCCATTTAGTTTCTTCCTTCAACTTACTATCTAGACCAGAGCGGTTGACGCCTAGTTACAACAGACGTTATAGGCATTATTGTAAACATAGAAAAGAGATTTCAGGTAGC